TGCTGGTCTATATATACTCCCTACTTTCATTTTTGTTAGTGTGACTTTGTAAATGGTCCAAGTCGGACCGAAACGTCATCGTAAGCTCCTCTCTCCTATGTGCGGGTTATTTGTTCATTGTTCCAGTCACGGTTTTATATATATATATATATATATATATATATATATATATATATATATATATATATATATATATATATATATATATATATATATATATATATATATATAGCCTCAACGATGCTTCAGATTGTGTCAGGGAAGGATAGAGCCCGCCTGCTGGCAGTGAGAGCCCATCATGCTGGGGACTTTCTGTTGGCTGTTCCCAACTCCAGCCTTGGCACACGCCTCGACCCAAGACCATCCGCATCGTGTTGCCCTTCGACTTGCCGCCCTATTCTCGCCGAACACAGGTGTATTTGTGCAGTGAAGCAGCAGACCGATTCGGGTACCATGGTCTTGTGTGCCGTAAATCCGAGGGAAAGATTGCAAGACATGAGGAGGTTAATAACATTATCAAGAGGAGCCTCACAACAGCTGGATGCCCAGCAGTAAGGGAGCCACCCCAACTATGCAGATCTGACGGCAGCCAGAAGCGTCCAATGGTATCACCCTTCAAGCCTGGACAGATGGAACAGTGGTGTGGGACTATACATGTGCATCTACCTTGGCTGATACCTATCTCCAATGCACCATGGAGGAAGGAGGGCAGCTGCCAGCTTTAGGGAGTCCCAAAAGTCTAGAAAATATGGAGAACTTGCCCATCATTATATGTTTGTTCCCATAGGCTCAGAGACCCTTGGCTCATGGGGAAAGAGTGCATCTAATTTTCCTTAAGGAGCTGGGAAAAAGACTCATCAGGGTAACTAGGGATCCCAGGGCAGCTAGTTTTCTGTTCCAGCGGCTCAGTGCGGCTGTTCAAAGGGTAATGCATGCTGCATTTTGGGCACACGCCCCAGCTCTGAGGAGCTGGATGAGATTTTCGCCTTATAATCGGTGATACACACGTAACAACATGTACCGTATATGCCACCTTTATATCAACAATGTATCTCTTAAATCTTCTGTACCATATTATGTAATAAAATATTCCTATTGGTAAAAAAAAATAGTTTTAAAAGATGGGGTGGTAGGGGAAGTGGAATATTCAAATGGCTTCAGGAAGAAATCCAAATATTCTTCCTTGAAGCCTTTTTATCCACTTCTCCGAGGCTATGGGTCCCACAATTTACACCAGAGGTGGACCCCATCTATATATATATATATATGCAATAAGATCACAGTAAACAGGTGATTTTGGAATATGCAAACAACCACTCTGAAAAAAATAGAGAAATTCCAAGCGCTTTCGTGACTACTCACATTATCAAGGATAATGTGAGTAGTCACGAAAGCGCTTGGAATTTCTCTATTTTTTCAGAGTGGTTGTTTTGCACACATATATATATATATATATATATATATATATATATATATATATATATTTACATTAATGAAAAAAATGTATCTTTAAACGTATAAGAGAAAATTTCAGAAAGGACTTAATTTTAAATGAGTTCTTGCTAATTGACCAGTTTTACATATTCGGCACGACATATATATATTATATATATATAATATATATATATATATATAATATATATATATATATATATATATATATATATATATACATACATACATTTATAATGTGTGTGTGTGTGTGTGTGTGTGTGTGTGTGTGTGTGTGTGTGTGTGTGTGTGTGTGTGTGTGTGTGCTTACTTTCTTCTCTGAAGATCTTCCTGAAATTTGAGCTGTGTCGTGGTGGGTCGTGGAGGGGGAGGTCGTGGAGGGCCAGATAGTGGACGTGGACAGTATTGCGGAGACTATGATGGAGAAGCACATCCTTCACTCCTACCCTCCCACCAACCACTACCACCCTGGCCTCAGCTTTCTTCCACAGTGCTGCTGCCTCTAGAAACCTGAAGTTTATGGTCACATTATACTCTGCGTTTAAGTTTGTTTATGGAGGATCAAATTCAGACAGCGAAGGAAGAATTGTTGATGTGGATTGGCTGTTAAAAAAAATGGAGCAGAACACGTTGATTAAAAATATATGTAATATCGTGTTGGAAAGATGGAAAAGGTAGAAAGAAGAATAATGGAGGTTGAGCATCCGGCAGGCATGGAAGATTTAAATTAAATGGGACACGAGGACTTTCTGGTATGTTGGGTTGTTGGAGAGATAGCACTATAACATTTAGGAAGGGATTTCGGAAAACCGGTTAGCCGGACTTGTCCTGGAGGCGGGAAGTGCAGTACCTGCACTTTGAAGGAAAGGTGGGTTCGTGTACTTCGGAGGGTTAATTGAAATGTGATATCCACACACTTCTGACACAACAGGTGCTAAATAAATGATGGTCCCAAAGCTACTAAGGTCGAGACGGACGTCGTGTTAAAAATATATTATCCAAAATCGAGATCCATTTGAAGATTAAAAGTGTTCCTGATAATGCCAAAGTTATTTAGACATACCAGAAATAACTTGTATATAAGGTATGTTTTATTTATACTAAATATTCCAGCACAAGAATGTATTCTCATTTGCTTCAGTTATGAACCGTAAAGTTAGGTCAAGTTTTTAAACAGCATGGCAACACCGTGGCTTTTAAACAGCATGGAAACACCGTGGTTTGAGCACCAGCGCTAAATGAGATTAAGCAATATTCGTTGTAATGAGACGTTTTAAATACAGGCAGTTTTCTGATCAGGACGGAGTGGAGTCCTGTGACTGACCTTCAGTCTAATAATGCTTACCGAGTTTTATTTTTATATATAAATATAAAATTTAAGTGTACTGAGCAACATTTGAAATTACCTGTGCACTCAAGAATGTTGATAAATTAGACACATGTGCAACTCTTGGGTGTCTTTATTGAGGAAACGTGTTCAGTCCATCAATCAAGATTGATGGACTGAACACATCCACTCAAGGTAGAGGGACTGATTACCTCATTCTACTCCTGTTCTTCAAGTTTCTCCTACGTATGGACTGATGAAGCCACTGTGTGGCGAAACGTTTCCTCAATAAAGACACCCAAGAGTTGCACATGTGTCTAATTTATCAACATGTCGGTTCTCTGAACCATTCATCTACAAACTGAAGAATGTACATAATAAATATGTATATTTTAAGTATATATATTTTAATCAACTGTGTCATGTTCCTGAATTACGTACTGCAGCAGCAATATAGTTGGTAAATCTTATTTACTCACTGTGCTTATAAAGTATGCTTGAGTCTACCATCCTCGCATATACATACACGAGCAATCGCAAGAGAAATAACAGTTAATATTCACAACATGTCAATACATGGAGCAACTTATCATGGAAATATAAGCTGTTTCTAGTAGGTAAGAAAGTATTACCTAAGGATAGTGGTGGTATTGTTGGTATCAGTGAGGTCGAGGACGAGTCCCCGGCAGGTCGCTCTAATGTCGCCCCACAGTCCCTGGAGGAGGTGGTCCTGGACCAGCTGGTCTTGAGAGAAGACCGATCCAGCTTCCACCACCACCACACCAGCTTCCATACCTTCACTCAGGCGCCTGAATGACAAACTTCACAATTTTTTTTGACTTCCTTTTCTCGTCTATAAATAATTTTAATAATCACCCAAAAAAATATTGCTTGCAAAAAAACATTAAAATATTAGAAAACATTAAGATATTCTAATATCAGTGATATAATGTTAGCATTATTTTGTTGATTGGGAAACTTGATAGTAATGCATACGTTTTTAAATATTTAAATTATTTTCCTACCTGTGTACTGTAAAGGCAAGAGGTGGTTGAGGTGTACTGGTGATGAGCACCAGATGACATCCGGTGAGATGGTGCTCTACCACCTGACCCACCATCACGCCCACATCCACGCCCATGTGCTCCACAGATCCACCCGTATCCACGCCTACGTGCTCCACGGCTTGGCCCACGTTCATGTGTTCAACCAGTCCGCCCACATCCACGCCCACCTCAACGGCGTTACCTATTTCGTGAGTAGCTACGGGTGATGCGCTGATCACCGCCGTCATTATTATTACACGAAATTCGAGTAGCACCATCCTAGCCAGGAATGTGGGGATCCTGAAATTTATTGAAGTACAGTAGAGACAAGTGGATTCTTCAGTCATTACACATGCAGGAGGACTACAGGTCTTTTCAGTAATCTATTTATTCAAGAAAAGTTGGACTAATGGGTTGGCTAAACTAAAAGTTTCTTGAGTCTGTTAATTGTATTTTATGTGCCAATCAGAGCAACTTCCAGGCATCTGCGTTGTGTTTTGTCCTTCATGACCAACCAGGTGTTTTACCAGGACAACAGATGGGCAGTCTCGTTCCTGTGTATAACGCAGGCACTGTTCATATTGTTAGTCCTGCACGCCCGTTGTTGCAGCCTGATCTAGTCACAACTACAGCCGGATATGATGCAGACTGTGTTGATATGGTTCGTGCTGTTGTCTTTAAGCTTAGACATGTCGGGTGTTAGGGTAGCACCTATGTTGTTCTTGAAGAGAGTGGGTGTGATATACCATGTGGTGAGGCCCAGTAGGAAGAATGAGTCTTATTTTTATCTTCTTTGGTATGGTGAATATTTTGTATGCTCGTTCCCTGCCGTTGCTGATTTCGGCTTTGTGCCATTTCTTTAAATTATTCCCTTTTGTGTATTTAATTTTCAGGTAATTTATTTTGAATTTACTTTTTTATTGCTTTTATAGAATTATGTAAATACACTGAAAACCTTGGAAGTCAATAATGATCCAGGGCCATAAAAATAATGTTCACTTTTTATTTCTCGTTTGTGAAGTGGTGATTTGTTCCCACTCCAGTAATGTGATTATATTCACAATACAGCCAGGGTTATGAAAACAAAACCAGCAGAATACTTTTGTTGAATTCAGAGAAATGAGAGATATCGACTTCCGAAAATACTTATAGTAAGGTGGGATGAAAATGTACAATTAGTTTTAAAATTAATTTATTGCTGAAGTGTTTCACAGATATTTTCCCAGTTCAGAAAGCAAATAAACTTTCTCACCTAATCTGCAGAGTATTCTACAAAGTTTATTGCTAAACTTTGTAAACATTGAAGCATTTTGAATTATATTTATCACCAATGAATATCCATTTCGATCTATGAAGAATCTTAAAGCAAACTGGCTTGTTTGGGTCTTTGAAGTCAGTTGAAGAATAATGAAAATAAATAGACCACAAATAACACATTTAAGCTAGTTAAATTCCCTGCAAGAGCACATTGTTTTTTCTTTTGGATTCACTAAGCGGAAATACCATTGTAAACAAATTTAATTTACACTTCGTTAAAATTGTAAATAATTCTAAATTTTCCCCGTGTTAAAAGCAAAGTTCCCGCACACCAGTCTTACGAAGCACTTTTCCAGGGAAGTGGAGAATTATTCTCTTGAAACCAGGGAAACGAATTAGAGCAGCAAGGTTCCCTGCTACTGAGCTGAGAGACCGAGTAGGTATAGAAGTGGGCGAATGATCGCCTGCAGTGAGATCGAGTCTCCAGCGTTCCACAGTCTCGCCAGCGACGGATCCACCTGTACACTGTGGAGACACTGGTGCCACTCTCTAGGGATATGTCCCTCGCTGTCATGCCCCAAAGCCACATCCTCACAATCTTGGCTCGTTCAGCAGTCTGCGTCATAAATTTTATTTTTCGTTTTTCCATGGTATTGGCTGCCAAGAAAAATGAGGTGTCAGCTACTCGCAGTAGCGATATATCATTGAATTCCAGTGTATTAAACTATATATGTATGCACATAAATAAATATGTATAATATATAGGTACTTCATATTCCAATTTCTTTAATAAAAATAGAAAATTAGGACATACACAGCCTAAATTTATTACAAACCTACCAATACGAGAGGTCAAGTTTGAAGCTAAACTGACGAGGCATATAATATATTATATATATATATATATATATATATATATATATATATATATATATAATATATATATATATATATATATATATATATATATATATATATATATATATATATATATATATATATATATAATGTATATATACATATATACAATGCATGGTTGAATTAGACAATCTGAAGTACGATAATGGTCAACAGTAATAACAGTAATTTATTTACATAAAAAGCACCTTTTGTTATTGTAAACACTAATGAAAATGTGTAAACCTGCAGTAAAACGTTTAAGTAAACGAAATGTTCTGTTTTATAACGTAATACGGATGGTAAGATGACTCTTATGAATGTGGTTTAGTTGTCGTAAGGGATTACCTTATTACAGCAACGCATTTTCATATCATATTATGCAGTACAATAAAAGGCGATCTAAACAATTCAAACCAAGCCACATAAGGATGGAAATCCTTAGAGCTAAGGAATTCCATCTCCATGTGGCTGGTTCCGCATATCCTATGAAGTGCAAATTATCACGTATACTCAGTTAGAATCTTAAAAATAGAAAATTTACGAATTATGGTTATGTAGTATTAAGAGAGACAAGTAACCAACATTTAAATTTTATTGTTCATCGATGCTAAAGTTCTCAAGTTAATTTTACCTATAATTTACGGGATGGTATTTTTTTTTATCAAACTCCACAATTCAGATATTTTGTTTGCTTTCAAGTTTGAGATACATAAATGACTTGACAAAAAAAATAAGTGGCATACTGGTTACTCTTAAACTGGTATGTACATTTAGTAGAGACGAGAACAGTGATAAAATAAGAGTACAAGAACGACGATAAACATCACTAATTTTAAGCTTAGTAAACTGTTTATATCGATAACTCCATCTGATAATTCAGAGTAATTCTTTAGGCAGTCATAATTAATAATTCTGGGAGAATTATCCATTTAAAAAGGAAACACTTTGAATTCAATATCTCTAAATAATTTAACTTAATATTTGCGAGAATTTTACACATGTCAAAGCACTACATAACATTTAATCCAAGTATTTGAAAGCAAACGTTTTCTCTCGTTGCACACAATATCCGCATTACATCCTCATTCATCAGAAAGATCACTCATATCATGTGACAGTTACCAAGTAATATATATATATATATATATATATATATATATATATATATATATATATATATATATAAATGTCGTGCCGAATAAGCAGAACTTGCCATCTGGCTTAAATAGCAACGCTCATCTTGCCATATAGCACAAGTGAAAATTTGCGTATGCAATAATTTCGCCAAAATCATTCTGAACCTATCGAAAAAAATATATTTCACTGTGCTTGTTTAGTATTAAATTATTGTAAACAAATCTAAAATATATTTAGTTGGGTTAGGCTAAAATAAATTGCTCTTGTTATAATAAGGTTAGGTAAGTTTTCTAAGTTTCTTTTGGTGCAAAATTATAAATTTTTACATTAACATTAATGAAAAAAATATATCTTTAAACGTATAAGAGAAAATTTCAGAAAGGACTTAATTTTAAATGAGTTCTTGCTAATTGACCAGTTTTACATATTCGGCACGACACATTATATATATATATATATATATATATATATATATATATATATATATATATATATATATATATATATATATATATATACAATAATGTATTTAAACAGACTGATTCAGTAGTTACCTGATACAGTGGGCTCTATCTGTATGGTATCTGATACAGTGGGCTTCAGCTGTTCAGTTACCTGATGCAATGGCTTCCAGGTCTGTGGTCACCTCTTGCTGATGTCACACATAGTAATGATTCTAGCAAAGTCAGCCAGGCATATTTATAGGCGAGGAGCTCCGCGCAGTCCCGGCAGATCAAGGCAAAGTTCACCGTTAAGCTCGTTAATTGTTTTGTTTGGGCAAAATGTTTGTCATTTATTTTGTGTGTGAGTGTGTGTGTTTGTGTTGTTTGTTTGTGCAAATGTTAATGTATTTGTGTGATTAACATTGGGTTGTAGATAATGTACAAGACGCTAGGTCTCCATAATAAAATGTCAACAATCACCTATTTATAATCTTTCTGTCCGTTGTTTCTGGGGTTAGATACAATTTTGTGCATCAACTAACCATTGTCTTGGAGGAAGCATTCCTAGGAGATGCGATATGCAATTTATAGGTTGGTTGTTCAATGGGTTTTGAAGCCTATTGACTACACATGAGACATCAGTTCATTATCAGTCAATGAAGCTTTTATCATCAAAACATTATTCTTGGTCGGAGGTCTGGTAATGCAATGAGAGATACTAAGGTGAGAAGAAGGCGTTGGCGAGGTTCTCCCACAGCAGGATCAGGATGGCGAAGAAGCAGCCCAGGAACAAGAGGTAAAAGGCGCCCTGCATGTGTTGCATCCCAAGCACCACTACTTCGCTCTCACCCTGCAGAAAAATTCCATGATCGCAGATAAGTGTTTTACATTATACTTTCATAATCATGGAATAAATTAGTTATTTACAAACATGACAAAGTATATAAGAATAATCAAGAAATCTGAAAATGTATACCATATGAGTGTTCTCCAGATTAACTTGAGGGTTGAGGGCAGCAGCTGCCCTGTTCTTCCTCACACGTCTGGCTATCACGTCCTCAGTCCAGTATTTTATAATTCCAGCATCTTCCAGTCGCGACATAAGCTGATGAAAACGTGCGTAAAACGGTGCGCCTTTTCTGTATAATAAAAATACATATCTTACGAAAAGTAAGAAAAGACGTAAGTGAAACTTGGATACAGGAATAACAGTAAGAAGGAAAAATAAGTATTATTTTGCTAGTAATAAGAACTCGTTGTTGTCGTTAATTTATTCGTTAGTTAAAAAATTACTTTATATTAGTACCGATGTTCCTTCTAGAGAATAAACAACTCGTACAAACAAGTGACACTATAGTCACCTGTTAATATATAAACTGCTTAAGAGAATGAATAGTATCATGAATAGTATCATAGAATAATCGTGTCACTGACAATTTTTCGAATAATGGTTCCAATGAAGAATCACTAAAAGAACAAAAATGAGAATTACTGATGTATGATTTAAGGACCCCAATGGAAATAAGTCACTCTGTCTGACTTTTTTGGGTTATCCTAGGTTCTCTACACATATGCTGCTATGTATGATAATTCTATGTAACTGTATTTGTGTATACCTGAATAAACTTACTTACTTACTTACTTACTAAGTAAGACCAGACATGGAATGCTCCTTGCATATTCAACAATTGATGTGCAACAAGTTACAGTTTGCACCATAATTGTACACAGTTTTCATCTTTTTATATCCACAGACCGGAGAAGAAAACGTACAAATTTCGGTCTCCATAGACCAATATCAAGTCGTGATGAATACTGCATTATTTCTAATAATATTAACCATCGTTCGTCTCACTCGGTAAGCAGCATTGCGAGGCTGGAACATGAATTTAACTCCAACAAGCAGTAGGTACCTTTGGCATCTGCCGCAGATATACATGAGATGGCTTCGGAGATCATTGTCAAAGCCGCCAATAGTCAGAAGTTTCCTGGAGTCTTAAATCCAGTATGTACGAGTCTTAGGGCATTACAATATTATTATTGCATTGAAAAATTAAGTCTCGTACACCAATATAATTGACATGAAGGAGTCTGTTGATGCAAAACAATAGATATGCACAAGTCAACTAGATCTACATCACAGACGTATATAAGTCTATTAAATCATTACAATAGATATGAATTTTACCTAAAACCCCATCCGTAAGCAGCCATTGGAGTGACACCTTTCTTGCTGATAAAGAATGGTGTGTTGCCGTGGGAGTCAGTGTAGTAGGAGGCGATGGTAATCATGATATTATTCGTTCCTGTAATTAGACTATAGTGACCCTGCAATGTCTTCTTCAGCGCCTCTCTCATGGATACTCTCTGAAAGACCAAGAAATACTTTTCATTGAATTTGTACAAGTAGTAAAGCTTAAAATGAATGCCTGTCTGTTTTGTCAGTCTTAAGTAAGAACTGTTCATTATCAACGAGGTCCCCACTAGAAGGACATAACTGGGTAGTATTTCCAATGTATCAGTATCATACAACTAGTTCTGCAGTTCACAAAACAGATGAGGTCGAACCCATGGCAAGGAAGTCCTAAAACTTGCAGGCCAGTAAGTTAACAACTGGACCACACTGGACTAATAAGATTCATCCAACTTGGTATATTTCTATACACCATAGAGAGGTTAATATGGATGAATCTTACTAGAACGGTATGGTTGACAGGATAACACACTGACCCGAGAGTTTAAGGATTTACTTTTCATGGGTTCGAGTCCCACCCATTCTGTGAGCTTTTTACAGTAGTGTTATGATGATTTCCTGAGTCACGACAACTTAGTTGATACACTGAGGTTTGAGGAAATAGAGACGCAAGTGATATTTGAAATCATTTACCAGGAATATTTTTTCTCGTGTAATTACGACCAAATAACATTACGATATGGAAAAAAAACGAATTTAAACTAACTGGATTTACCTCCATATTCTTATAAATGTGCTGCATAATAGGGTTAGAATGATTGGAGAAATATTCCAAACTTATCCCGTTAAATTGCCAGGGCTCAGTGCCCCATTTCCAGTTACTCAGCTTTCCCAGGTCCTCAAAAGTCTCAATAGGCTTTGTCTTTCCTTGAATGGTTATGTGAGCGATCAGTGATGAGCTGTATCCCGTAGTGATGACCAGACAGAACACCAGCCATGAAATCACCAACACCTAAACATAAAGGAAATGTACTCTTTTGTGACGACCAGAAACAGTTCCAGTCAGCTACATATCAATAACTTCTCACACATCATGCATGTGTCTTAAAGCCATTGCTTGTAAAGACTTACAGTTGCTGTCACACATCAATAAATTCTCAATCAAATTTCACATGTATCATAAAATTAACAATAGGTAAAGTACAAGTTTTATCGTTATATTGGAAAAATAAAATATGAAAACATCATCGTTACTGCATAGCTAACGACTGGAATGTTCAACAATAATATTGATTTTTATGTAGTTTCTTCCGTTTTCTATTATCCGAAACTAAGAAAAATGTTTGCTATGTTTACAGAACTTACTATGCAATTAAATTTTTTATATAAAATTCCTTACCAATTTCCAGTCAGTGAAGTAAATGCTCGTGGAAATTTGATGTGTTAGTCACGGAATTAATAGTGGCGGCACATCTTGTCAAAGTGAGCATTTTCACTAAGCTGAACACCCAAAACCCTAAGTAGAATGATAAGAGCCTCGTGGCTGGCCAAAACTCTCACTAGAATGATAACATAAGAACATAAGAAAGAAGGAAAACAGCAACAGGCCTACTGGCCCATGCGTGGCAGGTCCGAGCCTCCTACCGCCTTAAGCCAATGACCCAACATAGCCAGGTCAGGTCACATCCACTTAAGGAAGGAGCACGGCATAAGACTTACTAGCACAAGCTAGTCGGGTCCAACTCGCACCCATCCACACCCACTCATGCATTTATCTAACCTAATTTTAAAACTACACAACGTTTAAGCTTCAGTGATGGTACTCTGAAGTTTGTTCCACTCATCCACAACTCAATTACTAAGCCAGAGCTTTCCTATATCCTTCCTGAATCTGAATTTTTCCAACTTAAAGCCATTGCTGCGAGTCTTGTCTTGACTAGGTATAACATGGTATGGATATTTTCTTTACACAAATTCATACGATATACTTACTCTTCCTGAGTCACTAACTGGCGGATCAGGAACTGACTGTACCACGAGGGCAGCCCAGCAGTACATGAATGCAGTGCTAAACTTGACCCCATTACCACCTGTCACCCACCGCCACGCTCTCTGCAGCAGCCACAGGATCACGCCCCACACTACCACGCTCACCAGCACTGCCAACCACAACTCTCCTTCACAAGGGTAAAGGTAGCTTTAGCCTCTTATAGTAATCTTTTACAATAATTAAATAAGACCTACTATAAAAAATATGTAATGATATTTAATATGTTTCCCATAAAGTAATGTAAAATATTTTCCAGCAACAAAAGAGTTAGCGCTGTGTAAAAGGCAAAGAAGGACGTAAGTACAATTTAAGATTATTTCAAAAAGATTTTTGAAAAATTGTAAAAATAATCAGAATTACATATTGTATTAATGATCACTGACAAAAAATATAATTCTTGTATCAGGAATTTAGAAAAAAATAAAGGTTGCCTTTCATTATATATATATATATATATATATATATATATATATATATATATATATATATATATATATCAAGGAATCCGCGAGAGCAGGCGAAATATACACACAAGGCACTGCGTACCTTGTCCTAAGGTTCGTAGGTTCGAGTCTCCTTCAGCCAGAGATCAGTGTTTGTGTATATTTCGCTTGCTCTCGCGAATTCCTTGCATTATTAAAATCTCTAGTAAGGCTGATGCATGCAGGGGATGAGATGAAAAGCTGTAAGCCTTCTCCCTGAATGCTGGCTGCCTTGGATCAACGTGTAGCGCAAGCTACACGCCAAGGTATTGTCCAGTGTGGGTAGATTGGTAAAGCACTGCGTACCTTGTCCTAAGGTTCGTAGGTTCGAGTCTCCTTCAGCCAGAGATCAGTGTTTATATATATATATATATATATATATATATATATATATATATATATATATATACATTCCTTATTCCTGACGGAGGGAAAGGTTAAATAAAGATATTACTATGGTCGTTTTCTTTATTCTGATGAAAGGCTATTTAACGGAATAAGTTTGGAATATTTCTCCATGCATTCTAACCCTATTATACTATTAAATATTCACAGGTAAGACGTTAAGAAAATTTTATTAAATGCATTTTTCTCAGAATAATGAATACCTGTAAATGGCCTTATGAAGGACAAGTTTTCCGGTAACAGTGAAGGCTTCAGAGATATCACAGTCATCTGCTCTGAGGGATACCCCCTGAGGAACTCTATGACCTTCAGACGTTCTGGTGAGGGACCAGCTTTGGAGCACAAGTCTGTCTCCTCACGCTGAAGCTGTCCCATCATCCCGGTGAAGGCTCCGTTCACTTGCAGACCCCACTGTTGTTCGGGTTCAGATCTAATCTCGTATCTGTTTGCGAAACAATTGAGAAAGTAATATACAATAAATTAATGGGAATATTTGTGGTGGTTTCATGACTGACACACATGCAAAAATGCAAATATGTACTAGGGGAGGCTGAAAACTTGAGCAGCAGTCAGGGATGAGAAAGAAGTCACTATTCTACATTGGGGTCAAAGAACACCGAATGAGAGAGTGATCGTCTGGGAAGTGGCACCAGAAAAGTGTAGCAGGTGAGGTTTCCCGAGGATCGGTACTGACACCAGTACTGTTTATAGCATGTGTGATCGACATATACTAAAAGAAATAGGAAATGAAGACGATGAGTAATTACAACTGGAACTGCAACACACTACAAGAATTGTCTGGCAATTTGCTACTGAAATTCCTCTCTAGAAAATGCAATGTTATAAAGGGAAAATATGGCCTAAATCCAAATACGAATCCGAAAAGGCTGCAAACTTCACTCAAGGAGTAAAACCTAGGAGTGATCAACATACCGAACACATCGCCAGAGGAGCATATAAAACGGAATAACCTGAATGTAGAAGTGGAAACAGGCTCTATATACGGCTTAAAAATTGGTGTGATGAGATCCACGAAGCTAAGATGGACTGAACTCATTAAGGCCAGGAGCTGGACTCGACGATTGGAACAAATACGCGAGAATTATGTCACACAAAACACAAAAAGAAAGTCTGGTCTTACGTGAAATTAAGAGCGGCTGCGAATGTGTTGATCAGTCTTTTGTCTATGGAATCTTTAATTGTGATTATACCACCCGGGTCACTGACGTTAAACTCAAAATCAATATATGGAAAGTTGTTCACAGCAACGACCCGCAACTTGTGGCCCATCATGTTGTCTCTTCATCTGCTGAAGTAAAATGTAATCCTTGAACTTTAATTAGTACACTTTGGAAAGTAAAAGAAAAAAAATACATATATATAAGTCCTCGTCTTTCATAAATTTCAAGTGAAGAAACATTAGTAGTGCATAATAACTTTGTCATAAGAAAAGTTAATAGAAAATATTTTGAAATGTAAATTATATATCTCCTCAATTGGATTAGGGAAAGATGTAATGTTCTTCAGCAAAAGTTTTGGGATAATGATTAGTTTACCCAGGAAGAGATGTGAAGTGTCTTGAAGTGTAGGCGTGAGGACCCAGTGATTGATGACTCGTGCGTCCGCTTCTCCGTTGTTGCAATACATACACCGACGGTACACCCACACACCGCCACTCTCTGTTACTACATGCAGAGGTTAAACACACAAACTATATATATAGCATAGACTAATATATAATATATTATATATATATATATATATATATATATATATATATATAATATAATATGTCGTGCCGAATATGTAAAACTGGTCAATTAGCAAGAACTCATTTAAAATTAAGTCCTTTCTAAAATTTTCTCTTATACGTTTAAAGATATTTTTTCATTAATGTTGATGTAAAAATTTATAATTTTGCACCAAAAGGAACTTAGAAAACTTACCTAACCTTATTACGACAAGTGCAATTTATTTTAGCGTAACCCAACTAAATATATTTTAGATTTGTTTACAGTAATTTAATACTAAACAAACACAGTGAAATATATTTTTTTCGTAAGGTTCAGAATGATTTTGGCGAAATTTTTGCATACACAAATTTTCACTTTCCTATATGGCAAGATGAGCGTTGTTATTTAAGCCAAGATGGCAAGTTCTGCCTATTCGGCACGACATATTTATATATATATATATATATATATATATATAATTATATATATATATATTATATATATATATATATATATATATATATATATATATATATATATATATATATGCAAAACAACCACTCTTAAAAAAATAGAGAAATTCCAAAGCGCTTTCGTGATACTCACATTATCATAGGATATATGATAGTATCTTGATAAAAGTGATAGTAAAAGCGCTGTGGTTTCTGTTTTTTTGAGTGGTTGTTTTTGCATTTTTAAAATCACCTGTTTACTGTGATCGTTGTTGAGATATTATATATATAGTGGATCATATATATAACTATATATAAGCATATCTATACTCTATAAACTATACACTGTAGCTTTTATAATTGCTGCTTAAATAAGTATTATTAATTATATATATTTAAGTTGTTGTGTGTTGGAGGTTCTGTGAGCGGGAGGTGTGTTGATGTGTGTGTGTGTGGAGCAACATTTTCTATAAATCGTTCCTGAAATTTGGAAAACTGTGTCGTGGTGGTAGATCGGAGAGGGGAAGTCGTGGAGGGCCAGATTAGTTGGAGTTTGGGACAGCTAATTGCGGAGATTATGATGGAGAAGCACATCCTTCACTCCTACCCTCCCACCAACCACTACCACCCTGGTCTCAGCTTCCTTCCACAGTGCTGCTGCCTGTAGAAACCTGAAGTTTATGGTCACATTATACTCTGCATTTAAGTTTGTTTATGGAGGATCAAATTCAGACAGCGAAGGAAGAGTTGTTGATGTGGATTGGCTCTTAAAAAAGATGGAGCAGAACAGGTTGATTATTAAGATGTATAATATCGTGTTGGAAAGATGGAAAAGGTAGAAAGAAAAATAATGGAGGTTAAGTATCCGGCATGCATGGGAGATTTAAATGAAGTGAGACACGAGGATTTTCTAGTATGTTGAGTTCTTGGAGAGCTAGCACTAACATTTACCAAGAGATTTATTGAAACCGGTCAGCCGGACTTGTCCTGGGGGCGTGAAGTACAGTACCTGCACTTTGAAGGAAGGGTTAATTGAATTGTGATATCCACACACTTCTGACAACAGCTGCTAAACAAATGATGGTCTCAAAGCTACCAAGGTGGAAGACGGCCGTCGTGTTCAAAATATATTAGCTAAAATCGAGATCCGTTTGATAATGTCCAAAGTTATTCAGATACCAGAAATAACCTGAATACCGGAAATAACCTTAATATAAGTCATGTTTTACATATACTAAATATTCCAGCACAAGATCGTATTCTCATTTACTCTAATTATAAATCTTAAAGTTTGGTCAAGTTTTTAAACAGCATGGAAACACCGTGGTTTGAGCACCAGGGCTCAGTGAGATGAAGCGATAACCGTCCCAATGAGACGTTTCAAATACAGAGCCAATTTGCTGATTAGGACAGAGTGGAGTCCTGTGACTGTTGCCTCCAGTCACACTCAAGAATGTACATAGTAAATATGCTGTATGTATATATTAATCAACCGTGTTACATTCTTGAATCACGATCTGCAGCAGCGATATGGTTGATAAATATTTTTGTTTACTCATTAAAGTTATCACTCTGCTTATAAAGAAGTATACTTTAGTCTACCATCCTTCGCACGAGCAATCGCAAGGGAAATAACAGTTAAAATTCACAACATGTCAATACATGGAGCAACTTATCATGGAAATATAAGCTGTTTCTAGTAGGTAAGCAAGTATTACCTAAGGATAGTGGTGGTATTGTTGGTATCAGTGAGGTCGAGGACGAGTCCCCGGCAGGTCGCTCTAATGTCGCTCCACAGTCCCTGGAGGAGGTGGTCCTGGACCAGCTGGTCTTGAGAGAAGACCGATCCAGCTTCCACCACCACCACACCAGCTTCCATACCTTCACTCAGGCGTCTGAATGACACAAACTTCACAATTTTTTTTTTTACCTCCTTTTCTCATCTACAAATTTTAAATATGGTCCAAGATAATAGCTAGCAAAAAAAATGAGATATTACAAAACATTAAGATTAGAATATCAGTGATATGATGTTGACATTATTTTGGTGATAAGGAAGCTTGACAGTATTGCACACATTTCAATGCGTCAATTAAACTGCCATTTTAAATGTATAAATTATTTTCCTACCTGAGAACTGTAAAGGCAAGAGGTGGTTGAGGTGTACTGGTGATGACCACCAGGTGACAGCGGGCGAGATAGTGTTCTACCACCTGACCCACCATCACGCCCACATCCACGCCCATGTGCTCCACAGATCCACCCGTATCCACGCCTACGTTCTCCACGGCTTGGCCCACGTTCATGTGTTCAACCAGTCCGCCCACATCCACGCCCACCTCAACGGCGTTGCCTATTTCGTGAGTAGCTACGGGTGATGCGCTGATCACCGCCGTCATTATCATTACACGAAATTCGAGCAGCACCATCCTGATCGGAAATGTGGGGATCATGAAATTTATTAAAATACAGTAAACACAATTAGGAAGAGAGGAACTTTCACTTGTGGAAGAGGATTCTTCAGTCATTACACATGCGTAAAGACTTAGATTATTTATACATGTGTAGTGTAGGAGGACTACAGGTCCTTTCAATAACCTATTTATTCAAGAAAAGTTGGCCTAATGGATTGGCTAAACTGTAATTTTCTCGATTCAGTTTACTGTATTTTGTGAGCCAATCAGAGCAACTTCCAGGTATCTGCGTCGTGTTTCGTCCTTGACGACCAACCGGGTGTTATACCAGGCCATCAGATGGGCAGTCTCGTTCCTATGTATAACGCAGACACTGTTCATATTGTTAGTCCTGCACGCCCGTTGTTCTTGCAACTTGATCTTGTAGTCACGGCCACAGCAGGATATGATGCAGACTGTGTTGGTATGGTTCGTGCTGATGTCTAAGCTTAGATAAGTCTTCGATGGTGACGGGTTGCTCTTGTAGAAAGTGGGTGTGACATACCATATGTTGTTTATCTTCTTCAGTAAAGAGAATATTGTGTGCTTACTCCGTTCCGTTGCTGATTTTGGCCTTGAGCCATTTCTTTAAATTATTCCTTTTTGTGTATTTAATTTTCAGGTAATTTATTTTCAATTTATTATGAAAGCCTTGTAAGTCAATAATGATCCAGGGCAATAAAAAAAAATTTATATTTTTATTTCCAGTTTGTGAAGTGGTGATTTGTTCCAACCCCGGTAATGTGATTTTATACGTAATACAACCTGGATTATGATAAAAGCAGAATATTTTTGTTGAATTCAGCGAGATAACAGATATAGACTTTCGAAAATACAGTAAGGTGGGATGAAATGTAAAATCAGTTTTAAAATTAATTTATTGCTGAAGTGTCTCACAGTTATTTTTCCAGTTCAGAACGCAAATAAACTTTCTCACATAAACTGCAGAGTATCCTACAAAGTTTATTGCTAAACTTAACAAATATAATTCAAAAATTTCCAATGTTTATCACCAATGAATATCAATTTCGATCTAAGAAGAATCTTAAAGCAAACTGGATTGTTTAGGTCTTTTAAGCCAGTTGAAGAATAATGAAAATGTTAGTTATAGACCACAGATAACACATTTATGATAGCTAAATTCCCTGCAAGAGTACATTTTTCTAATTTTGGATTCACTAAGCGGACATACCATTGTAAACAAATTTAATTTACACTTCGTTAATATTGCTAATAATTCGTAATTTTTCCCGAATTAAATCAAAGTTCTCGCACAATAGTCTTGCGAAATAATTTTCCAGCGAAGCGGAGAATTATTCTCTTGATGATAAAGCCAGGGAAACGAATTAGAGCAGCAAGGTTCCCTGCTACTGAGCTGAGAGACTGGGTAGGTACGGTAGAGGGAGAGTGATCTGCAGTGAGATTGAGTCTCCAGCGTTCCATAGTCTCGCCAGCGACGGATCCACCTGTACACTGTGGAGACACTGCTGCCACTCTCTAGGGATATGTCTCTCGCTGTCATGCCCCAAAGCCACATCGTCACAATCTTGGCTCGTTCAGCTGTTCGCGTCACAATTTTTATTTTTCGTTTTTCCATGGTATTGGCTGCCAAGAAAAATATGAGGAAGTGTCAGCTACTCGCAGTAGCAATTTATCAATGAATTCCAGTGTACTGAACTAATAATAACAATATATATATACATTCCATATAATGTATATATATATATATATATATATATATATATATATGCAGTGCATGGTTGAATTAGATAATCTGAAGTACGATAATGTCCAACAGTAATTTTTTTTAATTAAAAATCACCTTTTGTTATTGAAAACCACTACTGAAAATGTGTAAACCTGCAGTAAAACGTTTAAGTTAACGAAATTTAGCGTTTAATAACGTAATGCGGATGATAAGATGACTCTTGTGAATGTGCTTAAGTTATTGTAAAGGATTACCTTCTTATAGAATGCATTTTCATATATTATGCAATACAATAACAAACAGGCGATCTTAATGAAAAAACTGGCCACATAGGGATGGAAATCTCTGGAGCTAACGAATTCCCTCTCCTTGTGGCTAGTTCCGCATATCATATGACGTTCAAACTATTACGTATACTTAATTAGAATCTTAAAAATAGAAAATATACTAATTGACTATTATGGTTATTCAGTGTTATGAGAACAAGTAACCAAGATTTAAATTTTATTGTGTGTTGATGCTACAGTTATCACGTTAATCTTATCTATAATTTACTGGATGGTCAAACCATTCCCCCGGCCGGGATTGAACCCGCGGTCAGAGAGTCTCAAAACTCCAGCCCGTCGCGCTAGCCACTAGACCAGCTAGCCACAATAAGATTCATCCAACTAGGTATATTTCTACACCATAGGAAGGTTAGCACAGGCACCACTGTGACCACAAATGCAAGTTTTTACAGACGAATCTGCAGCTAGCGTGGCCGTGACGAACTCTAGCTCAAGTCCCTAGTTGGATGAATCTTATTGTGGCTAGCTGGTCTAGTGGCTAACGCGACGGGCTGGAGTTTTGAGACTATGACCGCGGGTTCAATCCCGGCCGGGGGTATGGTTTGTTTGCAATCGTGTCATTACGATTTCTTGAGTTACTGGATGGTGTTTGTTAACGAGTAATTACACTCTTATCAAGCTCCACAATTCAGATATTTTGTTTGCTTTCAAGTTTGAGATACATGAATGACTTGACAAAAAAAAAAAATGAGTAGCATGCTGGTTACTCTTAAACTGGTATGTACATTCAGTAGAGTAGATGGCGGTACTAAAATAAGAGCAGCTGTCAGAACGATGACAAATATCAGTAATTTAAAGCTTAGAAAATTGTTTTTATCGATAGCTGCATCTGATAATTCTGAGTAATTCTTCAGGCAGTTATAATTAATATTTTTTGGAGAGCTATTTTAAAAAGGAAACACTTGTCACATGTCAAAACACTACATAATATTTAATGCAAGTATTTAAAACCAAAATTTTTCTCTCATTTCACCGAATATCCGCATTACATCCTCATTCATCAGAAAGATCACTCTTATATCATGTGACAGTTACCAAGCAATATGTATACAATAATGCATTTAAACCGAGTGATTCGGTAGTTACCTGATACAATGGGCTCTATGTGTGTGGTACCTAATACAGTGGACTTCAGCTGTTTAGTTACCTGATGCAATGGCTTCCAGGTCTGTGGTCACCTCTTGCTGATGTCACACCTAATAATGATTCTAGCAGAGTCAGCCAGGCATATTTATAGGCGAGGAGCTCCGCGCAGTCCCGGCAGATCAAGGCAAAGTTCACCGTTAAGCTCGTTAATTGTTTTGTCTGGCTAAAATGTTTGACATTTATTTATTTTGTGTTTGTGTATATTCATATATTTAAGTGCGGGTGTGTGTTTGTGTAGTTTATCTATGCAAATGTTATTGTGCTTGTGTGATTAACATTGGATTGTAGATAATGTACGAGACAATCAACAATCACCCATTTAGAACCTGGCTGTCCGTTGTTTCTGGGCTTAGATACATTGTCTTCGAGGAATCATTCCTAGGAGATGCAATATACAATTTATAGGTTGGTTGTATAATGGGGTTGGAAGCCTATCGACTATACGAGGGCCACCAGCTCATTACCAGTCAATAATGCTTGGTCGGAGGTTTGGTAATGCTATGAGAGATACTAAGGTGAGAAGAAGGCGTGGGCGACGTTCTCCCACAGCAGGATCAGGATGGCGAGGAAGCAGCCCAGGAACAATAGGTAGAAGGCGCCCTGCATGTGTTGCATTCCAAGCACTATTTCTTTACTGTCACCCTGCAGAAAAATTCCATGATCACAAAGTGTTTTACATTATACTTTTATAAACATGGAATAAATTAGTTATTTAAAAACATAACAGACTATATAAGAATAATCAAGAAATCTGAAAATGTATACCATGTGTGTATTCTCCAGAACAACTTGAGGACTGAGGGCAGCAGCTGCCCTGTTCTCCCTCACACGTCTGGCTATCACGTCCTCAGTCCAGTATTTTATAATTCCAGCATCTTCCAGTCGCGACATAAGCTGATGAAAACGTGAGTAGAAAGGTGCACCTCTTCTATAAAAGAAAAATATATTTATTAAAAATAAATGTAAGGAAAGACATTAAATCAAACTTGGATGTATGTGGCAGTGAAAGAAAAATAAGTAATATTTTAGTAGTATGAGAAAAAATGCGAGTTTTACCTAAAGCCCCATCCAAAGGCAGCCATTATGGAGACACCTTTCTTGCTGATAAAGTATGGTGTGTTACCATGGGAGTCAGTGTAGTAGGAGGCAATGGTAATGATGAGGTTATTCTCCCAAACAATTAAAGTATAGTGACCCTCCAGTATCTTCCTCAGCGCCTCTTCCCTTGACACCATCTAAAACACAAATAGAGTCCATAGTATTTGTACATGAAACTCAAACTAGATAACTCTGTCTTTACTCGAGAATATCTTTAATTCTATGGATCAAGAGTCTATCATTATCCACGTCCCCCTTGAATGGCATAACTCACTAACATGACCAGTATAAATAAACGAGCAGGTCTATCTGTATATATATATTTAAGAAAATAGTTTTACTAAGTGACTCGTTTTAACGTATTTTCCTATATAGTTTATCTTGTGCAATTACTCGTATTTTACATAAGGATGTAAACAAAATAAACAGAGCACCACTGGACTTACCTCCATGTTCTTATATATGTGCTGTATAATAGGGTCAGGATGCTTAGAGAAATATTCGGCAGGTACCCCTTTAAGGAGCCAGGGCTCGGTGCCCCATTTCCAGTTGTCCTGCTTCGCCAGATCCTCCATGGTCTCTATGGGTCTAGTCTTCCTTTGTACAGTTATATGGGCGATCAGTGATGAACTGTATCCCGTAGTAATGATCAGACAGAAGACTAGCCACCATCCCACTAACAGCTGTACGCAGATTATTATGACAGGTTATAGGGCCAACATAAATAAGAGTAATAGGAAGAACTTCTCGTCTATATAAGTTATCAACTGAAGTAAATTTATAATTTTATATTAACTTTAGTTACTCTCGCCATATATTACATAGGGTACAAATGGCCTCTTTCAGAAGCAACTGTAGTGTGTGTATGGTTACAATGGGCTCCTTTTAATCCTAATGTCATCTGTGATATTAAAAAAAATGAAGGTTATTTTATTATTTTTATAAATATGACAAAGGAAAACACTTTTTAACATTAAGCATTAGAGCAAAATGCCAATAACGGTAACAGATCTTTAGGCTTACAAACACAGATTTGAGGAGGTAAATCCTACATGAGATTTTCCTCCTCAATTTGATCATGAACACTGACGCATTCATTATCAATTGGCTAATGAATGACAATAAAAATAACATACTTAGCTAAGCTCTGGTTGATAGTTTCAAGTGAACAAAGATGATGTAACGAAAATAATGAAAGAATCTGAACGACGTGTTTACAATCCTCGAACTCAGTATAAATGACACCTTAAAAATTCATAATGATGCAAAGGCATCATTATGAGTTGAGATGTGAGACTTACTCTTCCTGAATTACTCAAGAAGAGAGCAGTTGCTGGTGGCTTTCCCAGGAGTAATGCCAAGCCATACAAGAGGGCGGTAGCGAGGCTGACCTCCTGCCCATTGCCTGACCTTATCCACGCTTTCTGGAGCAGCCACAGGATCACGCTCCACACCACCACACTCACCAGCATCGCCAACCACAGCTCTCCTGTGTAACAGTGATCACTCTAGCTGACAACTGAGCTGAAGCCCCATAATCGCTAAAGAAATTAAGAATTCCATTCTGATTCTTCCTTATAAGTTCCCCAAGAAATTATTTAAAAGATGTGAGTTAACATAATGACAGTTTATCTTATCTTCAGTACCTTGAAAAGGTCTTATTAACGACAGGTGTTGTGGCAGGAGAGATGGTTTAAGAGACGTCAGCGACATCAGATCAGAAGGATACCCCCTGAGGTACTCCACGACCTTCAGACGCTCCGGTGAGGGACCAGCTATGGTACTGAAGTCTGTCTCCTCCCGCTGGAGCTGACCCATCATCCCCGTGAAGACGCCGTTCTCCTGCAGCCCCCACGATCGTTCAGGCTCCTCGCGAATTTCAAAGCTTTTCATAATACAGTGAATATTGTTAACAGAATTATCGCTGAATTTAGTGAATGTATTACTGCTTGTATTGACAAATTATAGGAGCAAGATTTGTTAATGATTTATTAGTGATTTTATTAGTGATTTTCGTCTCTTAGTTCCACGATAACAGAATGAAATTCATGTCTGAAGGTCATTTGGCAATTTTTTGTTTAAAATAATGTAAAATCTTAAACCCCGTTAAATCATGCTAAAAAAATCAGTTTACCACTATTCAATGGATTCAGTATCTTACTGCCAAGACTTATCCATTAAGATCTAAAGTGTGCGGGAAAATTTGTCAACATTGCAAAGCAGAGGTGCCACTAACACGATAAGAGACAACGCAGTAAGTGTCAGGGGCCCAAGACTGTTCAATTGCCTCCCAGCATACATAAGGGAGATTACCAATAGACCAATAGACCCTGGCTGTCTTCAGACAGGCACTGGACAGGCACCTAAAGTCAGTACCTGACCACCCGGGCTGTGGTTCGTACACAAATAACCCGCACATAAAAGAGAGAAGCTTACGACGACGTTTCGGTCCGACTTGGACCATTGACAAAGTCACACAGTGTGACTTTGTCAATGGTCCAAGTCGGACCGAAACGTCGTCGTAAGCTTCTCTCTTTTATGTGCGGGTTATTTGTGTATCGTTCCAGTCACGGTATTGTGCCTTTTTTTGTTATTTGTGGTTCGTACGTTGGATTACGTGCGGCCAGCAGTAACAGCCCAGTTGATCAGGCCCTGATCCACCATGAGACCTGGTCACAAACCGCCCCGCGGGGGCGTTGACCCCCGGAACTCTCTCCAGGTATACTCCAGTGATAGGAAAATTGTTACAAATTACTGGAATTCAGGAGGTAACTGGAGAATGAATCTTTGATCAACTTCAACTTCTCACCACTGGCATGCTTTTTCTGACAGCAAGGTTCGTGTTGCTGTTACCTGTCATAAGTCTCTATTTGTCAACTTTATTGAAAAAACAGTCATATTCATTTACATTCAGTAACTACAAAAATCTTCCACCGATCGGCATTAGAAATTTATGCCACACTATGCACTAATCTTTTTGCGTGCATTGAGGTACAGGTGGCAGGGGCTATGCAATGCGGGGATACCTCTCTTGGATCAGGCAGTGACTTTAAATACGGCTAGTTACTATTTTTTTATTAATACTATTGTTATTAAGATCATTATGTGAAGTTTTAAGCCCGTGAGTGTAATTCAACGAAAGGAGTGACTGGGGGATCGATACTCCGTCCGCTGATCATTAGACAAACAAAGCTTATTTTTGCTTATCTAATTGTTACAGGTCAGACTTTTATCAAGACAACTGTTAATCTAGCATTTCCTGTATCAGAATTTTTTCTTCCTTCTTTTCACGCTAATGTATATTAAAAGCAAATTCCAGAATGAAAGAAAGCTCAGTAATATATCACATAAATAATGTAGATTTATTAAAACATTTTTAACAATACAACAAAATTTAACAGGTTTTTCTTACGTAAAATTAATTGCAGATGCAAAGGTGTAAATAAGCCTGGTGTCAACAGAGTCCCTGGGAATGATTATGCCCCCTGGCTCCTGAGTGGTCGTCTCGTAATCCATGTACGGGAAGTAAGGTACTGCTACAATACGAACTTTGTGACCCATCAGAGAACTCAGCTCATCTGTTGAGGAAATAATTGATCACTTCACCCCTAACGGTGTACATATAAATGAAGGAATTGGATTTTACCATATAGGGTAAACATGGCTTTTTGCTTGTGTAGAAGTTAGAGTTGCTATAACATTTAGAGAAATTTAATTACATAAAGATAAAGCATATTTGCAGAACAAGGTTTCGTGATAAGTCATGAAAGTGCTTGTAAGTTCATATTCTCACTGTAGTTGTTTTGCATTTTGTGATACCACCTGTTTGTGATTTTACTGCACACACACAATTATATATAAATAAATAAATAAATAAATAAATAAATATATATATATATATATATTATATATATATATATATATATATATATATAATATATATATATATATATATATATATATAATATATATATATTATATAATATATATATATATATTCTTCTTTCAACACACCGGCCGTATCCCACCGAGGCAGGGTTTCCCCAAAGGGAAAAAAAACGAAAGTTTCTCCTTTTACTTTTAGTAATATTAAATATTAATAATATTTATTTATATTTTTATATATATAATATATAGATAGATGATAGATAGATAGTAGATAATATATTATTTATTTTATAATGGAGCTATGCAATTTTGCTAGAGTGGTTATTTAAGGGGCCAGGGAGAAAAATTTGGGATGTATCTCGCCAGGTGAGAGTGACCACCGCTAAGACACCTAACCTAACTCCTGTTCATCTTTTCCCCTTGAAGGAGGGGACTATGTATTTTCCATTTTCCCCCTTGAATAACTGATAAGATTTAAAACGGGAAATGATTGTAGTGAAAGCCGTGTTCTGCTGTGTGTTTCAAAATTGTCCACATCCCGTTTTTGGAATTTATTTTAATATATGCTGGGAAATAGAGGGCAAATTTAGACAATATTGAAAATAGCATTAGTAAAAAGCTAGATAAATTATTTTTTTGTTTACCAATTTTATTTTTTTTTTTATTTTCGTTTAAAAAATTTTTAAATTCGCTATGTTAATGAAGGTAAAATTAATAAAAATTATAATACCAATAATGGTTGTTTTTTACTGTTTATTTTTAATGAAAAGGCGTAAATTAGAAAAATAACTCCAAACCTTCAGCAAAAAGAACCATATGGGGAAGAGTGAAGTGTGCTCTGATTGAGTACAGTTAAAACGTCAGCCCTCCATTGTTGCAGTACAGACACCGTGGGTACACCCACATTTTCCACTTTTGTTGTGTCAAGATGACATTTTTTCAGTTATATTATCATTCAATGTTCCTTTTGAAACAAGCGTTCCACGAGTGTGTGTTTGCTAGTCCAAACCCAAGTCTAATCACCCAACCCCAAAACACTTGTTTTCCCCAAGGGGCATTGAAAACGGTATTTAGTGGGAAAAACGTACGGAAAAGAAGAAATAACTGGAGACTTGCTTGAGGCTCATGGGTTTACAAAAACAAATTTTTATTTGCATCCCTTTAAAATGACTCACGAAATCGTATGACACGATTGAAGAAACCATACCGGGTGGGGTTTGAAAACCCCCGAGAAGAGTCACAAAAATCCCGACCGACATCTTATTTTTAAGCGTCGGTTTGGGGGTTTGTGATTCTTGATTCCCGGGGTTTAACCCCACCCGTCGTAGGTTTTTTATTTCCCTATTTTTTTATTTACAGAAAATATTTTAATTTATTTTAAGTTAAGTTAGGATATATTACGTAAACTTATATATGTGCATGTATGTGTATGTATGTATGTATATATAGAGCTGGACAGATACGGTATTTTTCAGTACATATTTATCAAGCTCCCAGCGGGTAAAAATACTGCATAAGTTTTTTTTTGTTGTTGTATCATAACAAATATCCCATATATATTAGGTACCCTTTGCTTTATGCAGATTTACTTATTGCTAATTAATTATTATGCCATATTCTCTTTGAATTGCTAATTTCGTAAATTATATTCACTGTATGCCATCAATGTATTTCGTCAGCCGTTTTTAAAATGCATATTATCCGGTATTAAGTGATTATTTCCTGAATGAGCTTAGTGTAATTTCCATGAGCCTGGAACGCATATAAAGTATGTAGTTATATATACCTTCAAATTAAGGTCTACTTCAGTGTATATTTTGAGGTTGTCAGAACATGATGTTACAGTATTATAGAAATAAATAAGGAAAGGGTTACATTGTGATTACTTTTAGAGAAACTTTTCAAAAATATTGGTGTACAGACCATCATGCCTGTGGAAGTTCCTAGGGTGAAAGTGGGTGTGTAGTAATGAATGATGGAGAGCCAGGTAGACAGCGTGGACAGTATTACGGAGACTGTGATGAAGGAGCGTATCCTGCACTCCTGCTCTCCCTCCAACAACCACAACACGAGTACGTGATAACTTCCACAGTCCTGCTGCCTCTGCCAGCCTGTTAAGAATTATTTTGTATTTCATGCTCACTATTCCTGCTCCATGAGCGTAATCATACCTCTTCCTTAACCTATGCATAGATCCTGCCTCCACTATATCACTTCCCAGACTATTCCACTTCCTGACAACTCTGATTGAAGAAATACTTCCTAGCATCTTTGTGATTCATCTGAGTCTTCAATTTCCAACTGTGACCCTTTGTTGCTGTGTCCCATCTCTGGAAAATCCTGTCTCTGTCCACCTTGTTGATTCCTCTCGGTATTTATGTCATTATATCTACCCAATCTCTCCTGTCCTCCAGTGTCGTCAGGTCGATTTCCCTTAACCTCTCCTGGTAGGACATGTCCCTTAGCTCCAGGACTAGTCGTGTTACGAACCTTTGCAAGAATGGGCGGACAGTATTTAAGCGCCAGATATTTTGTTTGAATTTTAGTAACTGCGAGCACGGATGCTTTCCTGCAAAATTATTAGCACTTGCCTAGGGCTTATTTGATTGCATATTTGGCCACTAAACTTCGTTTTTATACTTGAAAAACAATTCTTGTATTTTTAATGTGTTAACATTACCCGAAAACAGAGGAGGTACTGTTGGTGCCAGTGAGATCAAAGATGAGTCCCCGGCAGGTGGTTCTAGTGTCGCCCCACAGCCCCTGGAGGTGGTGGTCCCGTGGCAGCTGGCCCTTGGAAAACATGGATCCTGCCTCCACGACTATTCTAGCATTCCCACTCTCTATAAGAAATCTAAAGAAAAGCTATTATACGTTATTATTGTAAGTCTAGAGAAGTAACTTGATATAAACTCACTATGCTTCCACTACTACGATATATTCAGTCTTAAACACTACAGAAAATTATGGAGTTTCACCTGAGTATATAAAAAGTAATATGTGAATATGGTGTAGTGATGAGTACCAGGTGGCAGCCGGTAAGATGATGCTCCACCACCTGATCTAATATAACGCCGACATCAACGCCCACCTGCTTAACTGCTCCACCCGCTTCCTGATTAGCTACGGCAGTAGGGAGCGTCGGTGCGATAACCATCATCACTAAATGATAAATCAGTGTGTCCATCTTTGCCTGAGACAAAAGAAAATGCGTGATAATTATAAACATTGCCTGATTTTTTTTTAGAGAAAAATAGGTCTTAAATGACAGGTACATTTAAGGAATTCATCATGACCCTTATTTAAAAAATCGTTAGGCTCTCTACTCTCTCCACGTATTTGCAACAGTCAAAAATAAGAAAAGGAAAATATTAGCCACGTGATTCCAAACTATTAGTAAGTAAATATTGTTATAAACTGTTTATATTTCACATGTGGATAAGGATAGCACATTCAGAATGTAAGATTTATTAATTTTTAATTCACATTTTTCCGAGCATAAAATATGCATGACTTTCCAGTACATATACAGTTTTAAAACCAATTTTGCTGTTTTTATAATCACTGATACCACATTTCTAATTACAGACGAAAGTCATAATACGTTATTATAGACAAATTTACAATTTTTTATGTATTATAATTTTAATGTAGGTTCTTGGCAACATCTTAAGAAATATATTAAGATCGTGTTGCAGAAGTTTTGAGATTATGCAGAAAAATATTTGGTTTTCTGTTAAATCAATAACTGTAATCTTAATACAATGTATACACTATTTTGCAGACATTATATTGCTGCATATAAATATAAATATTTTTGGGAATAATCAAGGAGAACTTATCGGCTTGCATAGAAATTCGGCAGTATCCAGGGACACGAAGTACATTTATTTCTCCTAAAAGCGGATAGTGGAGTGTAGGTGAGAACTCTAGAACTGGCTTTCCAAGGAGCATATCGTGGCATTATTCGGTAGGGTCGAGTCTCCAGCGTTCCGTACTCTCTCCAGCGACGGATCCACCTGTACACTGTGGAGAGGCTGGTTCCACTCTCTAGGGATATCTCCCGAGCTGGCATACCTCCCAGCCACAGCCTCACGATCCTTGCTCGCTCAGCTAACAAGGCTGGCGTGTTTATTCGCCTATCCATTAGGCTGACTCTGTTAAACAGTAAACACAAGTAACTAAGATCAGCATATACGAGTAAGCTTTCCTCTAATGCAAAAATAATATATAAATGTATATAATATTCGTTAATCTTTTGACAAGAGACAAAAACAAATCATCT